ACATTTGATTCAAGTTTTTGAAGGTCTGCTGAAAACCTTTCTGGCACTTGACCTTTCACAAACAACCCAGGGCAAAGGTTGGGGCCGCGTCTGTCTTCGGCACCTCTAAAATGTGCCTGCAGCTGGGCATTACTTTCAAGCGGGGAAAATGCAAGAACTTCAAACCTGGGCTTCCAAGAACTTCCTTCTTGTCTTTGCCGAGGGTGTTTCGCACAGTTGAGAGACAAATGCCACGACCAAGTTGGACTTCCATTCCTTCCATGCTTTGTGTAGCAAAGTAAAGCAAAGCCAACTGCGAAGCTTAGGATGTGAGTGAAAGTTTTGCTTGCTTGCTTGCTTGCTTGCTTGCTTGCCTGCTAAATTCAGCCGGCTCACTTGTTTGACTTTAAGCTGAAGATGTCGCAAGCATCAGCAGCATCATTGGACAGCAAGACTGTGACGACAAACATTTTAACGAAAGCATGCGGTGCATTTTGCAAGAACCGTCCACTTGATGGGCCAGTCGTTGTTTAATTCTTACTGTTCTTACTGTCTTTGGTTCTTCTTGTCTTTCTTGAATTGTCAGAAGTTTTATTGAACTTGTTGAACTTGCTGAACATTTCAAGAATTTTCCAGCCCCGGTAAAAGACTGGACAGCGAACCAAGAAATCTCAGCGGTCTCTTTACGTTTCCTGCGGCATGACCAAGGATTGCATCTAAGTTCTCCAGAAATTCTCTAAGTACTCCTTAAATAGTAATTAAATGGAGCTGACAATAATACTCCCAAGTTGTCCTAGGTAGAGCTGAGTAGTACCGGTGATACTAGGACAATATGGAATGTTCTCATCGTTACAACCCGCAAATTACTGGTTCGAAAGGTGTAAACAAATGGTTCAGAGCTCAGTGATCACAGTGATCAAGCACACACGAAACATATCGAAACATTTTGCAAGCTCAGATCAAGCTCCTGCAAGTATTGGACTGAGATTGGCCTCGTCTTTCTCCTCAAGCCATCTCCGAAACCTCAGCCATGGCATAAGATGCAGCCAACATCTTTGCGCACCATACGGCCATACGGCATGTCATGCATGTCATACCATGAGGATCCATGAGGCATGTGTGTATGACTCATGCATCACTTTTTCAATGCGTGTGACTGCGTGTGTCTTTTTCCTGCTGTACTTCAGAAGAAAAGGCTTGCATTGCTCTTCACAACTTTGGCACGCCTTGACAAGACTCTCTTAGCATTTCACGCCTTCTGATGGCGCAAATCATAGATACCAAAGTCTTCGAAAAAACGAGCCTAGGTTTGCAGTGAAAACTGATTTCGCTGCGTCGCTGAATCACCACCACATTGGATGGCAAGAGCAAAAATGATACATACCAAGTCCTCATACCAAGTCCTGGTTGCCCTTGATTTGCGATGTATCATGATGTATCAATGCAACATGCAACTCAATTGTAACATACTGTAGCTGCTTTTGCGTGTTCCGAACCAATGCTCAGGACAAGACATCCAATGATCCGTCTGGAGCTCTGTATGACTGCTTGGCCTTCAAGAGATGAAAAATCACTGCACCGGCATAGCTGAGCCAAACCAAAAGAGCCAGCGTTCCACAGGGCTAAAATCAGTGACAAAGATCGAATCTACGCTCTCAGTTTCATAGTGTTGCAAACATCGCAGCCAGAGAGCTCTGAGTTTTGTTGGCTCTCTTTTCTGATGTAGCTGCGTATTTTTCTTATAATTTCATTGGGCTTCATGTTTGGTTTCTCCTCTGATTCTGATCATCTAATCTATCTATTCTGTACCTTCCTTGTGCAATCTTGGTGCGCATTCGGTCTCTGTCCCAGGTATGCCGGAATCACAAGATAAGATATCACAAGCCTCTTCTGAGGAGCCAAAAGAATTTGCCACAGAGCACAATATTGTCTTGTCGAGGCCTCCCATCATAGAAAATAGAAAACCATCAACAAAAGTGCTTGGACTGCTTCACCGTTTTGACACTGGCAATAAATGGCCATAACAAACATTAACAAGAACTCTGAATAGAGCAAATGATTAGGCATTTTATCACCTATTTGGTCTTCAATGTGCCTCCAAGCGAATCCAGTGGGCGGAGCCATTTCGGCAGTTCCATGGCTGATAGGACCGACAGGCCAGTTCGCACCCATGAAGTTTATCTTTTAGCTCAAGAGTTGCTCGGTTGCTCAAATCTGCCGGCATAAAATGCCAGGATAACTGAGGTTGGTTTCCATCAACTCAAGACGGCTCAGAGAGGTATGATTGTTGCAACCGCTGACAACAAGTCTTGAGTAAAACACCCCTGAGCAAGTGGTCAACAAAGAGAGCCTACACCTCCCTCCTTGTGGTAGTTTCGCTGTTGCAAATTAAGCTGGTGAAGAGCACAACATTCTGATCGTGAGGCTGCAACCCAAAAAACCAAACCCTGGCAACATGTACTCTACAGCCAGAAGGTATTTCACCTGTCTCACGTGTCTGTTGCTGTTCACCCGTGGGAGCCACAAGGCAAGAGAAGGCAAACGGTCGCTTGAGAGAGTTGCAGTACCTTGCAGTCAGGAATTAAGTGAAGATAGCCTGGCTCTCTGACATTGTTGCCTGCTTCGTTAAATATGCTGAAGGGAAAAAGTGGATTTGACAGCCTTCCGAAAAGCTGAATTGCGATACCTTATCATGCTTCAAAAAAATGGAATGGAATAAATAATGCGACCAAAACTCTTATGCAGCTACTGCTGGAGGATTTTGTAGGTTTGCAAGCATTGATTTCAAACAATTGGGAAAACAGAAATGAGGACTGGGTTAAACTTAAAAGCGTTGAAGGTGTGCGATGGAAGCAGGATTGGATTCACCTATGTACCTATCCTGGAGTGACACAGACCGAATGCAGACGCAACCAAAAACTGGGTGGCTGAGCCAAGCATCACAGGCAAAACAAGGCCACAGAAAAAACACAGGTTCAGATGGCTAGCCAAGTGATGTGCCAGCGGTTGCGAAAGCTACGGTCGAGGACCCGTACCTATCCTATCCTATCCTATCCATTTATCTATCTATCTATGTGTCTATCTATCTATCCATCCATCTATCTATCTGATTATACATGCACCCATGACACGTAGGCTCAACAAGTGCAGGTTACCCTGGGATAGTATGTTGGTCACAGTATGTTGTGGTTCTATTTTGAGGCACGATGTCCAGCCTTCAAAAGTTTTCAGGCTTTAAGAAATGTCACGCAAAGAGCAAAACGGCAAACTGTGAAAAAACTGCCAAACTGGGATCCCCGAATCATCCGAATCTCTGTTTTTCCAAATCTCAGATCCTTTTTTTCGAGAATCCTCTTTGGGATCCTCAACGGCTCTGCGGGGTGAGAAGGTGTGAAACACTTTGAAACGTGAAGTGCCTTGAAATGAATCATCTACTGAAATGCAAATTAGCAACTTCATGCAAACAATAAATATATAAATATAATAAACCGTGTGCAAAGAGCCGTAAACTTCAAACACTCACATATTCATAACTCAGTCGTCCATGCGCGCAATCTAAGTCCTTTGAGTTCCCAACATCACTGCCCTTAATTTGCGCATCACCAAAGAAAAGCGGGAAATCACATCGCATCTTCACAAGACAACTTGGCAGTGAAACACCGCGAACGTCACCTGGAACCTGCAAGCACTCTATGCCAATGGGTATCAAGAGAAGATGACATACAATATATAGTCATATTATCATATGTTGTGAGTGCGAACAAATGGATCTTGGAAAATTAAGAGTGGCCTCCAAGCGAATCCGCTAACATCTTCGAAGGAGGAGCAAGGCCCGGCATCAGCTTGGCTGCTTTCCTGCGAATGAAACAGCGTCAGTTCAGATTCAGAATGACAACCGCTGAATTACATTCCAAACAGGATTCAATATAGTTCAATCGATTTAGTTGTTTAAAACGTGACTTTCCTCTCCACAGTGCCCCAACTGCCCAAGCTGTCCCAGTTCCAGCCAGGCGGATAACTGGTGTCAAGAAGCCCACTGCCTGCCAACTTCATCCCAAAATGCGAAGCACAACATGATTTCCCGGAATATCCAAAAAACAACTCTCAGAATACAAAAACATTCCCAAACTTTATTCAAAAATGCATATGAAAATAATTGAAAATATATGAAGTAACATGCACATAAAACATCATAAAACATAATCCGCATCATTTGAGCGTGGCCTCCGCACATGGTGCCTCAGCAAAGTGGTGCGTGGCCACAATGGCCCCGTTCACCTGAGTTTCTGCCGTGGCTAACGGAGGCAAAGCGCATCACTTCAACCATGGGACCTGATGTTTGAGATGTTTGACTTCTTGGATCTTCTGGGTCCTTTTGAGCTGAATCGGAAGAGCATTCTTGTGAACTTGAAAGGACTTCAAAGGGTCCTTTCATATCCTTCATATTTATTTCAAATCCTAAAATTCCTTCCAAGTGACAGAAATTCGCATCAGGGCACCGCCCTCGCGATTACACCTGAAGTGTGATCCGGAGCGAGTATTGCTGAAACAATGGCCACATCAAGCACGATGATCCTCCGCGCTAGATCTATTTCCGACACTGTACACGGGGATGAGTACAGTAGCAAATCAGCGTCGCATGAAAAAACTGACAAAGGCAGCAAAGGTGGAAAGATGTGGAGTTTTCAAAGGCAACAAAGATGTTCTGGCCTGAAGAGCACTCCAACACGGTCTCCCATCCGCAGTCCCTCCGGAAAGAGGAATGTTTGAGCATTGTTTCTTTGCATTCTTCTGCTTTGCTGACGTCCCTCATTACGTATCACTGCTCTCTCTCTCTCTCTCATAATTTTCACATTCTGGTGACCCCATGCATGGCGCTTTTTGACGCTCTTTGCATCCTTTGACGCTCAACAATAGAAACTGAGAAGGAAAAAGGCCAAAACGGCCAAGGAAAAAGATCAAACTTGTCGTTTTTTTGTCGCTTGGAGTCGCTTGGAGAAGCTTAGCCATTTAGCCAAGCTTTAGCCAAGGAGACTCTCAGCTTTGGCAGAGATGCCGAAGACATCCAAAACGAGGCGAAGATCTCCGGTACTGACGCCCAACAACTCCTGACAGCAAGGTGCGCAAACTAAGCAAAATTCTTGGAAAAACAACTGCAAGATACTGCAAGCATCAGAAGCCAACCCCTTGCCTTCACTGTATCATAAATCAAGAACTGCGCACAAATGGCCTCGGCGACTTTTGTAAAAAAACACTTGATTTGCTTCGCAAACCAAGTTCAGTTTTTCTTTGCAAGTCTACCCACCTCTCTTAGCAAACGTCCATGGTCCAAATTAAGTATCTCTTTGAGAGTGGTGTGGTTGGGAGACCTCACCCTGGTGGCAGGTTCTGACTTGTTGATCCCGTTTTGTGGTGCTTGGCTGTGCTTCCGTACAGTATTGACTTGACCGAGTTGCTGCTGCGAAATAAACACAACGCGCTCCAAGACCCTTCCAAAGGTCGAGACTTCCAAGCGAAGCACGGCCTCAAAGAATGTGAAAAAGTGACATTGCAAAGCTTTGCTCAATCTTGTTTACTGAAGATACTGAGGAAGGCCCTGAACACACCAAAAAGGCCCTTAAGGCACTGTTCATTCGAGTTCAAGCAGAAAGCAGACTATGAAATAGGTGGATTTTTTTTCACAGCATATCAGAGCTCAATTTTAAGCTTTGCCAAGGCCAGTGCTACAGCTGCTACTTGTGATCTAGATTCACAGAGTGTATTTTTTAGTGAGTTTATTTTTAGTGAGTCACTCTCAGAGTGTCCTAAATTCAGTCCGTCTGTCCATTACAAATCTACGCTGCGGCTGCGCCTGTGTCTTCACCTCCTGAGGAGATCTGAGTGATGACAACCTCAAAACTGAAAACGCCAGGTGCTCACTGAACTTTCCGTGTTCTATGTCCCACTGAAAAAACAATATGATATGTATAATAAATATATATATATATAGATATATTTATAGTTTTTATATATAGATATATTTATAAGACTCTTCCAACGGTACGATTTGATACCTTCTCAGACGTGGGGAGTCTTTGAAACTCGAAGGAGTGGCAAGGCACATCGGCAGGATTGGAGACAACTGCCGAGACTAGGCCTGCAAGAGCACCCGCCTGCAGCACCACATCTCGCTCAAGTTCCATGCAGTTTATCCAGTTTGGAGTTGCTCTGAATTACACTCTGACAGACTCTGAGAGACTGCTTGGCACAAGCTCCACACTCTGCTTCAATGTGTTTCAATATGTTTCAATCTGTTTCTTTGATGGAAATTCGACTTCGACCAAGCGTTGTACCAGCGCAGAGATGCCAAGGGATCCAGAGCCATCAGCACTAGCTGCTGGAAAAATGACAAATAACGCGCCTGAGATCAGCAATGATCATCGAACGGCAACCGGCTGAAACTTGAAGTTCCATAAGTCTCTATAAGCCTCTGCTGTCTGAGGGTAGCACGGGAAGCCAAATCAAACACCAAGAATTTGCCTCAAAACGGATGAAACTAAAGTTCTGCCCACGGTTCCCAATGGTTCCAAACGGTTCAACAAGCAGCCTGTGAGGGCTTGTGAATGTGTTGGATGACTGTTGGCACCAAGAATCACAGCATGAAACAGGATGTGCTGTCGTCTAGCAACGGAGTCACAGTGATCCATCAGTCATTTACAATGCACTTCCAACTTCTGTCAGCTTGTTCTGGCTCGTTAAAACACATTAAACCGTCAAACTGTCAAACCAATGGATGTGTATTTTTGATGTTTGTCGTGGTTGCGAAACAGCGGGTTCTCTGGCAAGCTGCAGGCGGAAAAAGGAATCTCTCGTGCCCAGAAGGGCACAAGACCTGCCCAAAGGCCTGAAAGTTTCCCAGCCTCGGGAGAAGGGATGGCAGGTCAACCCAGAATGTCAAAGGATTTCAAATTGCAAAAGGGTTCATGTGCATGCATGTACAACTGGACAGATGTAGTATCAGTTCTTATCACTGCTGGACAGGTGAAGCATCTGTTCTTATCAGTGCAACAACTGCCTGTGATTGCGCAGGCTCTTTATGGATCAAAAGTCGCGCTGCTCTGCCTAACGCAGGTTATGAGCCCAACGCTCAGCTGAAGGGGCGTTTGCCATGTCGTGGTCTAGAGCGAGTTCGGTGCCAACTGGTAGAGGTGGACCTCGAGGTCTACGGCTGGATCAAGAAGGCCAACCAGGGCATGGAGGTGAACGAGCTGGACATGACGGCAGAGACCTTCGGCATGGAGATGGAAGAGCTCTACCAAATGGCAGTGATGGACGAGATGAAGGTCGAGCTCTACTACGAGGCGAACATGGAGGGGCTCTACGGCAAGAACTGGATGTGAGCACTGACCTGTTGGACTTAGGCACCGAGCCGAATCCGTGGTGGTCAGAGGTGGTTCAACGAGAACACCTACAAGAAGCACGTCAGTTGGCCATGGAGCAGCCGATGTGGACGCCAAGGGAAGAGGTCTCAGTCAAGGAGGACCTTCCGGAGATAGAAGATGCAGACGCGTCGCGAGAGTTGGAGCTGCTGGCAATGGGACGAATGAGTGCTCCGTCAAGTTGGAGTACAAGACGAGGTGTGGCCTTGCAGACTCAAGGGGCTATGCCACCAAATGATGATGAAGACCTTCGGCATCCTCAAGATGTTGGACAAGGTCGACATGCAGTACACCCTCAAGGTGTGGACCGACAGTATCCTCAAGATGCTGGACAAGGTCAAGAAGACCTTCGGCATCCTCAAGATGTTGGACAAGGTCGACATGTAGTACACCCTCAAGGTGTGGACCGACAGCATCCTCAAGATGCTGGACAAGGTCAAGACCTTCGGTATCCTCAAGATGCTGGACAAGGTCACCGTGAAGTACACCCTCAAGGTGTGGGCCGACAGTATCCTCAAGATGCTGGACAAGGTCAATATGCTGGACACCCTCAAGGTGTCGAACAATGTGGACACCCTCAAGGTGTTGGAAGAGATGGACACCCTCAAGGTGTCGAAAAAACGTGGACACTCTCAAGGTGTTGGACGTGATGGGCACCCTCAAGGTGTCGAGCGAGATGAACACCCTCAAGGTGTTGAACAAGTTGGGCACCATCGAGGTGTCGCAGCAGGGCTACTTGCTGGAGAAGTGCAACGTTCTGGCAAGGGACATGGTCAAGGAAGAGTGGTGCGGCCCAATGGGATGGGAGGTGAGATACCATCTCATGGGGTTGCAAAACAAGGTGGGCAGACTGGAGGACTGGGAGGTGAGATACCAGTTCAAAGGTCTGACATCATGCAAGAGGCTGGACACCATCGAGGAGTCAGCCGTGGACCATCAAGGTCTGAAGTTAATGTGCAGGAGGCGGGACACCATCGAGGAGTCAGCCGTCATGGACCCTCAAGGTCTGAAGGAATTGTGCAAGAGACTGGACGCCACCGAGGAGTCAGTCATGGTTATGGACCTGAACGACGTCAAGTTCAAGGTCATCGAATAGTACCAAGTGGTCTGCGAGATCAATCTCAAAGACGAGGTCATCGGCAAGATGATGGATCACCCTTGGAAAGAGTTCCAATGGGAGTGCAACAGTATGAGATGAGACGACAGATGCCACGTGAGGCAAGTCGACAACCACAAGGTGGAGTACAAGGTTGTAGCACAAGAACCTTTGTGGATGATGTCAATCAACAAGGGAGAGATGAGCGTGATGAGCTCAAGCGGGCTTTGGAGCAATCAATGGTTGAAGAGCTTCACAGACAGAAGCTTGAGATGGAGAAACAACAGGCAGAGATGAAGAAGTATGCTGAGGACTTGCAACGCCAGCGTGATGAGTTTGAAAAGAAAAATGAGGAGTTGCAGAAGGAGCTCAAGAAGAAGAGTTCATGTGTGGATCCACCAAGGACACCACCGCGGCGACCTCAGTACTACTCGCTGTCACCAAGAACAACACCTGGAGGAACTCAAGTTCCGCCGGGACAACCACCACTGGAGGTAGCAGATCTTCCAGAACTTCCACCATGGCAGTTTGACCCATTTGCAGTTGATGAGCATGTGGGTGGTGGAACAGGTTTTGATGGTTTGGAGGATTTTTGGACTCCAGTGGATCAACAACCACAACAGCAGCATCATCTTCAACCTGGAGCAGATCGTTTTGCATGGTTGGACAGAGAGGTCAGGATGATGCATGGTGAAAGACCAAGGTTGACAGGTGAGTACTGGGAGCAACCGGTGCACAGACATGGTGGCCCACCAGCGGATTTTGGTTATGTTCCGCAACCACCACCACAACCGCCTCAAGGACATGGAGTTGGACCTTATGGTGTACCAATGTTTGCAGCACCAATGCAATATGGTTCAATGCCACTGCAATGGCAACAGCCTCAACCACAAGCCAAAGGTCCTGATGGTGAAGCTTCTGAGGTGCTGAGAAATGTGCCAATTACACTGCCAATTTTGAAGGACGTGTCAGAGCCTCAAGCTGCCCTTCGTGCAGGAGATTGGTTAAGTGAGTTGATGCCGCTGATCTCAGATGTTTCAGAAGGGGCAAGAGTGTGGTGGACCGGAATAGTGCAACGAGCTCAAGATGCCTATGCCACATGGCTGACAGCAGGTCCAATGGATCGCATGGCTGTGCAACCTGACCTTCAAGTGGAGAACAAGTATGTCAGGTTGGAGTCTCGCGTGCTGTCAATGTTGTTAGCTGCAGTGCCACAGACGGTCAAACAAGAAGCAATCTCTTTGCGAGAGATGACATGCGTGCAGCTGGTGTTTCGCATCTTGAAGCTGTATCAACCTGGTGGTCTCAATGAGAAAAGCACCATCCTCAACAACTTGACTCAAACAACAGCAGCCAAATCTGCAGCAGAGGCTGGTGAGATGCTACGCCAATGGCGACGTCAACTCCTGCGAGCTCGTGAACTTGGACTACAGGTTCCAGATCCCTTGCTGCAGGTGAGCGCACTTTCTGAAGTGATGCGGACAGTGATTGCGAAGGAGCATCAAGCGAGCTTTCGCATCAGCAACTTCCGCATGACCCATATGGTGGATGTGGCGCCTACACAGCTCACAGCGGAGAACTATCTGCAGATGTTGATTGCCGAAGCGGATCACTTGCATCATGGAACAATGACGAAGGCAAGTCCGACTTCTGGCAACCCCAAGATCAACGTGGTCAATGCTGCTGGTGACAAGGGTGGTGGCAAGAAGGGATCTCCTGGTAAGAAAGGCAATGGCAACAATGCAGAAGGCAGTGGTTATGGTGCAGGAGCTGGAGCATGCAGGCATTGGGGTAAACCTCAAGGATGCCTCAAGGGTGACAAATGCACCTATGCCCATGAGTGGAACAATCTCAACGACAAGGAGAAGAGATGTTGGAAGTGTTCCAGTTTGGAACACATTGCAAAAGACTGCACGGCTGGTGACAAGCTTATGACAAGTCCAGGTGATAAAAGCTCCAAAGGAAGCCCCAAAGGCAAGGGAAAGACAAAGGATGGCAAGAACGACAAGGGCAAAGGCAAGGACCGGGACAAGCCGGTCGGGGGAGTGGATCAGTCATCAAAGGATTCACAGCCTCAAGTTGCCCAGATACAACAGCAACCTCAAGTTGCTCAGACACAACAGCAACCTCAAGTTGCTCAGATACAACAGCAACCTCAAGTTGCTCAGGTACAACAGCAGCCTCAAGTTGCTCAAGTACAACAACAAGTTCAGCCCTCAGTCATGGGTGAAGTTGCCAGTCTTCTCAAGACAATGCGAACAACGTCAACGACTCCAAGGGTGTTGGCGGTGGTGGCTGACAACAACCAGGGTGTGCTACTGGACTCAGGGGCCACGCATATCCTTAGAGGACCCTATGATGAGACTGAGTGGATGCAAGCGATCCCAACAGAGGTACAAACGGCAACTGGAAAAACACAGTTGAGGATGTCGAAGATGAGCAGATCTTTGTTGACAAAGGATGATCTGCAGCCAATTGTACCTTTGGGAATGTTGACACAGCATGGATGTAAGATGAGGTGGCATCGCGATGGGTGTGCTCTCACACATGCCAAGCTGGGTGAAGTGAAAGTCACAGTTCGTGACAATTGTCCCTACGTGACCAATGATGTGGGGATGAAGCTCATTCGAGAGCTGGAAACTGCGGAGAAGAACAAGCAGTTGATGTTGCGAAGTTTGGAAGTCACAGGTTGGAAGCAGGAAGACAAGGACATGGCCAACAAGCTCAACAAGTTGTTTCCTGAGACACCTATGGAGTTGTTGCAACCTATGGTGAACAAAGCTGGTGATGAGGCTCGATTGCCATGGAATCGCCATCAACGGCGACGCTTCAAGAAGGCCAAGGGCATTG